AATGGGATGGCAAGGAGGAAATAAGGCAAAACTGCCAGAAAAAAATCTTGGCAATACTGCAGAAAAAAGCAGATTCCTCGTTTCAGATATACTGAGACAGAAATCTAGAAGTACTGTGTGCTCATAGAAATTAGAAGTGTATCGCTTCATATAACTTGGCATCAGGTACCTTAAATAAGTAATTGCAAGTTACAGTGATATTTACTATGACCTCAAAATGGTTCAACAAAGAATCAAACTGGTTTCTCTGGGCACACCATCACATGATTTACCAATACACTGGCATCTTTGCTCTTTTGCTGTGAGCTGACAGTGATTATTTTAGAGAAAGAAAAAAGAAAGTGTGGAATTAGTAACGCAGATGCTGAAAAGGCAAGTGGCAAGACTCTACAAGAAGAATGCCTCAAATAATGCTACTTTGTTCCCATCTCTACTGGTACCTCAAGGTAAAAGGCCAGAATGACCAAAGCCAATTTAATAGTAGTGTGCAGAATGTCAGCTGACAAACAACATAAAAACAAGTCACGTTGTGTTATCTGTGGTCACGTTCTTCAGGGTTAGTCCAGTAACTCAAGACTTTACATTCTTCTGTCTTTATTTATTTATTTAATTAAACATGTATTGGTTAATAAACAGACATAGTCCAGAGTTAGTAGGTTGGTATTATAACATTTATTAAAATAATGCTATGGGTTAATAGAAACAGCAAAGAACCAAAGAATTAAAATGCAAGCTATGTAAAAACCCAACTAAAACCCGAATATGACTAATGTATTCATCCAGTAGCTAACTAAAAGCCCAAGAAAGACAACACTCCCAATATAATAAAGTACTGCAAAACAATTGGCAATATTTCAGTTATCAAAATTGTGGGTTTTGCATTTTTGTATCCTTTTTTCTCAATCAGGAAAAAAATTTTTTGAATGTTATATAACATACATATAAAACAAGATAGAAAAATACATTATAAACTTGTAACAATGGCTGTAAATACATTATCTTACATGTTTCTCATAGGCAATAGGTTGGTTATGGTACATACATAGCATGAAACTACTAAGATAATAAAGAATAGACAAATACATGTCATCTGTACGGTTACATACAAGCGACACTCCCATCTACCCACTCTAAAAAAATTACATAATACTGTCAGAAAGAAGTCTTAAAACTACATATTTTAATAAAGAAAAATTCAATAAAGAATGATAATACTGAGAACCAAGGCATTCAGAGATTTCAAAAGTCATGCTTTTTTTTTTGAAGTTGATCCAAAATTTTTTCAACTAAGTTTTCAAAAATTCATTCAGAGCAAACATTACTTTTACATGTCACACATCTATTTCATACACTTACTTTCCCCCCAATAAAAGACCTTTGATAAACATCTAAAATGTCCAGGTTTATCATTAATTGAGATGAAACTGGATCAAATACTGGTATTATTTTAGCAAATCTCTCTTCAAATGTTTGAGTGTCGCAAGTTTATTCAACCAACCAAACAAAAATCAAAATGGCACAGCATATACCATAAGTAAAATCAAAACAACTGTATGTGTAACAGGAAGACAAAGCCAGTGGCACGATAAACAAAAGCTAGCTGAATACAAAAGGATGAATGTCTATTGCATAGTAAATAAACTGATAATTGTTTCCAGGTGAGAGAAGATGTTAGATGAGGTCACCATGCAGGTGCTTAAAAACGTAAGCCCTCTTAGCTTACTTTTGACCTTTGATTTGGAAGCTGTGAAGGTTTGCAGGAGAAGAATAAGTTGACAGGGAGGGGAAAAAGTTATCACCTGATATTTGCCAAGTCTAGTACTGAGCCATTTGGAAAATAATACTTGCTCAATGTCTTTAGAATAAACACTGTGCATACATTAGCTTCAACTTCGGTAATGGCCCACTACATGAACTTCATGTGGAGCTAAACATGAAATATAGCCAGACTTTCAAATAATTAATCAATGTTTCTTTCCTGCCTTTCTTTTGAATAAAAAACAATTAGAAGTTAACATTAAGCAAACAGGAATTGATGAGAAACAACTTACACACTATTTGACACTGCAGGAGCTGCTTATAACACCCTAGGACATGCTCAGGTTAGACTGAAAACTAGGTACGTCTGTTCAGTTTGATTATGCACTGAACTACTATTTTGTGGACATGTTGTAGTCTGCTACACTTTATCAATTCCCCTTCCCCTCCCCCAAGACAACTCCACACCATTGCTAAACAAAATGAAGTAATTGCTGTCCCATAAACATTTGTCAGCTAATGCTCAGATTTAGTACGAGACAGCTTATATCATGAACCCTTTGGTTTAGAGGCTGCACAAGTACTTGAAATAAAATATGTATTAGATGCGACTGAAGAGTGAAAATGCTGCAAGAATAATAGGGATGATGTATGAAAAAATATCAATGTTTCATATTACAAAATTTGGCAAGTTGCATCATGCTAATATGGCAAAAATCAGGTAATTCAAATGGTCAACTCATTTGTCTTTCCTCACAGCTTCTTTTCACATACTGGGCGACTGAGTGGCATGCATTAACTTGTTGTTTGAGGGAGGAGCTGATTATACAAGACATCAGACTAAATGACCATGGAGAAAATAAGGCACTTCCTTTTCTTTAGACTTATTCCAATACTTAAAAAATAAAAAAGAAAGACTAAAAGGCTCTTTTGGTCTTTTGTTTCTTGACAACCACCAGAAAAAATCATTTAATGAAATAAAGGGTTTCTTTGTTCTTTTTTTCTTTTTTTTATAACACTTGAAAGTATAAAATGCTACATTTCCAAAAATATATTTTTTCTGCACCAGCACCCTTGTATAGTAAAAGTATCTACTTTTTTGTTCATTTTGTTTCAATGCACTATACTTTATCTACAATTTCATTACATGTATACAGCAAATAGGCAAGCATGGCTTTTACATCCTTAATGAAATTTTTCTATACAGGGAGGTTTAAAAAAAAATATTTGAACAGTTTGCCCAGTAATGTGACACATAATGCATGTACCTTGTTCTCCTGTAATCTTTTAAGGAGGTTTAAATATGTTCAAAGTAATTTTAACTCAGATTTTACTTTAATAGTGTTGTTGTTTTGTTCTCTGCATTTATGTAGTTCTGATAAATTCATTGTAGTCTCTCTTTCATGGCACACTTTCTTTTAAAACATCCAATTTGGCAGGCAATAGAAAAAAGGCTGCAACTTCTGCCCTTTAAGGGCACTGGTAGTGACTAAACAGCATGTCAAATTTTGAATACTTTTTGGAATCCCTTCACCAATGACATCCCTGACCAAAGGTTCATGCATGATGCATCATCACACAGTACATTCAGAGAGAGCTTTGACTTCATTATGTGAAGAAAAAGATTCCTAGAAGTCTCTCACAGTAACTGCCTCTGTCATCGGGTAGTTAAGGGACATCTGTCTCCATCTCTTAAGTGAGGCCTTCTTACCGTTCGCTTACGGTGGGACACTAAAGGATGATCAGTGCTGAGGGATGAATTGGACCTTATTGCTTTACTACTATTCAGTGCAGGTTCTAGAACCACTTTCACCCAAACAGGAAATAAAAGCTGAGTTGGAGGACAACAATTTCTTTGTCTTTTTTTTGTTAGATGGTAAGACGAACGGACAAGTGCCTCAGCTCGCTGCACTGAAGACAGGCAAGCAAAGGCGATTACCAGTTAACTGATCAGCAGGCAGGCATGGTCAGGTCATCATTGGGTGAAGAGTTCAGAGGTCAGAAGGTCATAGGTTAGTTGCCGGTGGCGGCTGGGTGGTTAGAAACAAAACAAAACAAAAAAAAACAAAACAAAAAAGAAAGAAAAGATAGAGAAGAGATTAGTTCCAGCTAGTGACGGCTTAATGACAACATGAAAACTAATCACAACTAATAAAAACAGGCATGTTTAATTCTGACGTACTGATTGACACCATCTACAGAATGCAATAAAATCATGACAGCCTGGTATCATGATTTGAACGTGTGAAGGAGAAGCCCACTCCCACAAAACTGGTTAACAGGAAAAAATAGAAATAAAATACAACTAACAACTAATGGTTAGTAGCAGTCGATGAAGAAAATTGGAAAACGAAAACAATGAACAGTTTTTGGAACTTGGTAAAGAATTCTGAAAAACAGTCAGTGCATAGTATCAGTATCTGACTGCTATTAAGCATTAGTATTTTCCCAGGTGCAAGCATTAAAGCAACTATTAATGATGGATGTGATTATTAATAAACTGGTTGTTAAAAGAAATGAATCTAAGAAATTTTGAACTTTCATAAACAATTTGGTTTAACAAACTATGGGCCAAACAAGGTTTCTTTTGTTCATAAAATTTTTATTGCTTTTCATTTATTCTATTTACAAACAACGTGGAATTTCTTGGCCTCATGATACAAAGCAATACTAAACTGTAGTCTAGCAGTGTAGGCATCATCATGGGAATCAGGAAAAGGCTCAGCCTATTGCTTTAGCCAGCATTTTCCTGTTGAAAATACTATTTTACACAGATAGGACACTTACAAAATGTACTTGCATGTAAACACTGTAAAAGTCCTGCCATTTTAAATTCTATACTTAAAAAGCTCTAAGTACATCAAAAAATAGAGAAAATATCTAATTGATACTAATAAGGCATTTTTTAAACTACAAACAGCTCTCTTTATTCATTTTCAAAGCTAATACTCTGCAAATACAATAAAATCTGACATTTCATATACATT